TTTAAATTATAAAATGTACAAAGTCTATTTTCTAAAGGTATTTTAGGACGAGAATACCGACCATAGTACATATATGATACAAACTATAACTACCCTCCCTCTGGTGTTTCTCCCTATTGTTCTAAAGATGAATACCTTCAAGGAACACCCCCAAATAACATTTACCTCCTGATCAGAACCCAGGGGCAAAATCTGAGTAGAAGGTAGGTGTGTGTGTGTGTGTTACAATGATATGTATTATCAGGGGGATGTCATTATTTATTCAATGGTTTCTTTTTAAATTTGTTTAAATTAGTATGTAAACTTTGACTTTCTGACAAAAAACTAAAAAAACAACAGATTCTAGGAAGTGTGTAGTTTTCTAGAACAGAATTAAATGCTATCTACTATGNTTTTTTTTTTTTTTTTTTATGAATTAACCATAAATGATAATTTAACTGTTCTGAGTTCGTCAATCTTTTGTTCTTCAAGAACTGAATTCAGTGTACAATGCATACCTACCTTGTTTCATTGATTTAACCTTCCCAATTTATTTTGAAATTTTCAAAACTTAATTTCCTAATTAACCTTCTAGTTTGTTTGATGTAACACCTGTGCCCTGTGGCTATTATGGACCTCTAAACGTACAAAAGGTTCTGTCATGGTTCAGTGACCCATTCATTGATGCTGGAGTACATGGGGTGTTCTCGTTTCCCCCACTTTTTATATAACAAAGGAAAATGTTGATTTAGAAAGACAATGGCAAACCAATTATAGTCTGTTTCATACTTACCCCAGAGGTAACGTTACCTGTGTGAAAGTTACCTGTGCGACTTGTAGCTTTGCTGGGTAAAAATAAGGTTTTAATACTTTTTTGGGGTTCAAATATTTTTATATATAATCGATATATTTTTATACTTATACATATGTAGAATTTACAGTCAAATATTTACATTACACTTTTAAGCAGATAATATAGAATATAACAGCACTACATAAGAGTTCACAATCTATTACAATTTTAAAATACATTACCAATATTCATATATTAAGAATAGTAAAGTTTAGTAATAGCAATCTCAAATTGTCCCCCCTCAAATGTATATCATATCTCCAATTTAAAGTTCAAGTCCAACAGCCAAGAGGCAGACATTTTTGTTGTATATCTATCCCAAATGTAAGAGATGTTATCTTTATTTGATACTTATATAATCATGTATTGTGAATTACGGGTGTGAAGTAGGGGGTTATAGTCCTGCACCGCAGATTGAAAATATACATTTATTATTTTTGAAAACCGAATTGGGTGTCAGGAAAACAGTAAATAATGCCATGGTGTATTTTGAACTTGGTCGTTACCCTTTGCTGGGTACAGCGTAGGATTGCCATTGTAAAGTACTGGCTGCAAATATTAAAGACTAAATAACTGTATTTTGAGGGCCTGTTACGTATACGATGACCTTTTAGAGCTTTATAACAGGAAACCAAATTGTAAAGCAAATTGGGTTTATCATCTGAGACGTGATTTGTGTACGTTGGGTTTTGGAGATGTGTGGTTGGCACAATGTGTACCAAATGAGAAATCTTTTTTATTAACAACACAGGTAAACACAGGTAAAAACACTGTTTTGAAATAAAATTGTGCCTGAGGCTGACATTTTCTGACGAAGGGACAACCACAGTATCTTACCTGTACGTATACCTGTTTAGTTTAGTTAATTGGCCTTAAGCCTTTCGGCTAATCAGCATAAACATTACAACACCTGTACATACAGACCACACAAACATGTGTGTGTGTATGTATCTGGGATGTAGTCATATGTTTGTGTATATATATGTGTGTGTGTGTGCGTATATATGTAGGTATCTGTTTGTTGGTATGCATTGTAGGTGTATGGATGTATATATATATGTATCGTGTCGTGCATGTATATATATATATATATCATCTAGTGTATGTGTGTATATATATATGTATGTATATTTTATATATGAGGATGGGTACATGTACATGTATGTATGTGTGGGTGTGTGCTATGCAAAGGTCTGGATATACAAATGTATGTGTGGCTATTAACATATGCATTGCTGTGTCAAATTACGAAATAGTTCATTTGTACAACATGTTATCATGTATATATATATATATATATATATCAGTATCTTTATATACATGCATGCACCTGTCCATCCTGTCCTAATTTAATATATGAATTCATGTACATGTACCTCATGTTACACATTTTCATGTGTCAGAGTGTTGGAAATAAAATCTGAAATCTGAAATCTAAACATACGTATGCCCTCGACTTATTATCTCGAGCGCTCAACATAACTTCTCGGGCACTCAACATATTATCTCGAGCGCTCGACTTATTATGTTGAGAGCTCAATTAATCTCTTATTTTTTCGGGCGCTTTACTTTGACTTTACATATGAACAGCTTCATGATAGTATTGTATTGAAATCGTGATAGTAGATTTTCTGTCAGGTCAAGATTCTTGTGTGGCTTTCAAACGTTCTATTATGACATCGTTGTACTATGACGTCAACATTTTATGCAAAGACCTCAAGACGTCAGGCTAAATTTTAATTATTTCATTAAAACACACATTTGCATTACATATAAAAATTATAATATTATTAAACAAGAGGCCCAGAGGGCCTGTATCGCTCACCTGAATATGTTTAAAATAATTGGTATGAAGTAGGTGCTGTAAGTATATATGAAATTTCAGAAAGATCCATCCAGTACTTGAGATATAGCGAGAACAAACTTCAAACAGAGCCCCACCCCTATTCCGTCTTTGCGTATTGAAGAGTTATCTTCTCTTGGGAGCAGGTATTGATTGTTACGTCACTTGTTTGTGAGAGTAACGTCATCAATTTTTGAGAAAACGACGTAATGTTCTCGCACAACCAAATGACGTAACAATCAATCCCTGCTCCCAAGAGAAGATAACTCTGCAATACGCAAAGACGGAATATGCAACTTGGGGGGGGTCATACCCACCAATTATACAAAATTGAGTCCCCTTGGCCCATTGATGCTCCAGACTAAATTAGGATAAAATCCCTTAATCTCTATGGTAAAAGAAGGATTTTAAAGGTTTTACCTATGTTTCCCCTATTGGGCCCTGCCTCTCTGCCTCCAGAGGGGTCAGACACACCGTTTATACAAAATTGAGTCCCTTTTGCCTAAGGATGCTCCAGACTAAATTAGGATAATATCCCTTAATCCCTATGGTAGAAGAAGGATTATAAAAGTTTTACCTATATTTCCCCTATTGGCCCCACCCCTCAGGTCCCTGGGGGGGAGGGGGGGGGGGCACACCCACCATTTATACAAAATTTGTTCTCCTTTACCAAAGGATGCACCACACCTAATATGGAACAAATCTTTTCATTCCTATAGAAGAAGACGGATTTTAAAGAATTTGCTATGTTTCCCCTATTGGGCCCCACCCCTCAGGCCCCTGGTCATGGGGGGCCACACCCATGGTTTATACAAAATTGGTTCCCCTTCTCCCAAGGATGCTTCAGACCAAATATGGAACAAATCCTTTCATTCCTACAGAATAAGAAGGATTTTAAAGAATTTGCTATATTTCCCCTATTGGGCCCCGCCCCTCAGCCCCCAGGGGGGCCAGACCCACCATTTATACAAAAATTGTTCCCCTTCCCCCAAGAATGCTTTAGACCAAATATGGACGAAATCCTTTTTTTCCTACAGAAGAAGAAGGATTTTAAAGAATTGGCTATATTTCTCCTATTTGGCCCCGCTTCTCAACCCCCAAGGGGGTCAGACCCATGGTTTATACCAAATTGGTTCCCCTTCCCCCAAGGATGCTTCTGACCAAATAGGGAACAAATCATTTCATTCCTACAGAAGAAGAAGAATTTTAAAGAATTTGCTATATTTCCCCTATTGGGCCCTTCGGGCAGGTGAGCTAAAATTTAATATGTGAAGTTTAATGTAGTTTCAAAATGTATTATGTATCTGTTAGCAGTGTTTTTATTCTAACTTGTTATGTACAATGTAGATAGGTTGGATAACGAGATACTCAAATTATTATCAATTTACACCAACCACAATTGTCATCGCACAACATTCGTCTATCGTCCGCACATAATGTGCGCAAGCAATAATCGTCCAGATTTTAATCGTTCGCACATCGTGCACACAACGTGGGAAAATGACATTGACCTATGATCTAGGTCACAGGCATCAAATATGTAAATAAAAAAAAGTTGAAATGACTCTGAAGAACTAAATGCCTACAGTACTAGTCATGGTATTTGGCTGGAAGCTTCTTGGGATAGAATCCAACTATGTTTTCGAATATAAATGACATTGACCTACTTTCAAGGTAACAGGGGATAAGTATGTCAAGAACTTCACATCTCTTCTTCTGAAGAACTAATAGTCCTACAGCCATGATATTTAATTGGTAGGTTCCTGGTTAAGTGCTTGATAAACTTTACAATAAAAAAGTACCGTACTTATTTCCACGGACACAGGGTCAAATATTACTTAAACTTCAAATGACTTTTGAAGAACTGAAAGGCATTTTGATATTAGGTTGGTAGTTTCATCGGATAGAGCCCGACAAAGTTTACAAATAAAAACAACCTTGACTTATATAGAAGGTCATCATCAGGGTCAAATATGTCAAAAATTCAAATGACGTCTTATGAGGAATCAAAATGTCTAGAAACCTGATATTAGGTTGGTAAGTTCCTGGATTGGAGCCCCACAAAGTTTGCTAATAACTAGATTGACATTTTTTTACAATATAGAAACCAATAGCTCTTGTAACCAATTGAAGACCAAATGTGAAGTTTTCTACAAGGCAGCAAATAGTTAACTTTTTACTAAAACAATCTTTCTACAACATAGGGTAATGCAGGTCTTTTTGGACCTGTTAAATCGGCAAAGCCATTAAGACTATACTTTGAATAGTACATTTTTATGTTTTCAGATTTCTATCGCTAGATAATTGCAATCCTTTACTTTTCAGCACCTGTCAAACTGTCCGAAGTGTACCGATGTCCGAGTGGCTTGACCGGTACCATGTACACATACCGTGACCAGTGTTACCGATATGTACATTCGTCAGTCACTTGGGATGTCGCTAATGCAGACTGTTCCTCCAGCAACGGCGGCCATCTTGTTGTTATCCTGGACCAGGCGATCCAAAATTTCATTTCCTCGTTGCCATTTCCTAGCGACGCATACCAGGTCTGGATAGGATTCTCTGACAAAATACAGGAGCAGACGTGGAAATGGGTCACAGGTAAGATTTTGTATTTGTTCCTTTGTAAAACTTATACAACAATAAATGTTTATGTCATCAATCGACCGATATACATTTGCTATTTCCCAAGCAATAGCTCATTTTGTCGTGCTTTAGTTTTATGACTATATCCCTGTCATAACGAACCATTCAAAATATTGTTTAACGTTTACTTGCGAATCGTCTCGTTAAAACTTTGCCATCATGTCTCAAACCAATCAGATGAGAGGAGAGCGGAGCTAGTACTCGACCATGACCCCTGAAATAGGAAAAGAACATAACGCATAACAGTGGAAAGTTACAATATCGGGTACTGTTGAAATAATTAAATATTCGATGAAACGAATAAAAACCTAGTCTTCACTTGTTAGCTCACCTGGTCCGAACCACCGATTGGAATTCAACTAAATTTGACTGAAGCATCCCGAGGTGGTGGGGAATCAAAATTGTACAAATGGTGGGGCTGACCCCCCCAGGGGGCTGAGGGGCGGGGCCAAAAGGGGTCAATTTGGCTATATTGCTTTAAGCGACTTCTTCTCTGGAACTAAGAAGTGAATATCGACCATATTTGACTGGAAGCATCCCTAGGTGTCAGGGATTCAAAATTATATAAATGTTGGGGCTGACCCCCCAGGGGGCTGAGGGGCGGGGCAAAAAGGGAACAATTTAGCTATACTGCTTTCAGCGATTTCTTCTCTTGAACTGAGAGATGGATATCAACCATATTTGACGGAAAGCATCCCTAGGTGGTGGAGATTCAAAATTGTACAAATGGTGGGGCTGACCCCACAGGGGGCTGAGGGGCGGGGCCAAAAGAGGGCAATTTGGCTATATTGCTACAAACGACTTCTTCTGTTACAAACTATGACATGGATATCAACCATATTTGACTGGAAGCATCCCTAGGTGGTGGGGATTCAAAATTGTACAAATGGTGGGGCTGACCCCACAGGGGGCTGAGGGGCGGGGACAAAAGAGGGCAATTTGGCTATATTGCTACAAACGACTTCTTCTGTAGAACTATGCCATGGATATCAACCATATTTGACTGGAAGCATCCCTAGGTGATGGGGATTCAAAATTGTACAAATGGTTGGGCTGACCTCCCAGGGGGCTGAGGGGCAGGGGCTGAGGGGCAGGGCCAAAAGGAGTCAATGTGGCTATATTGCTTTAATCAACTTCTTCTCTGGAAATAAGAAGTCGATATCAACCATATTTGACTGGAAGCATCCCTAGGTGGTGGGGATTCAAAATTATACGAATGGTGGGGCTGAGGGCTGGGCCAAAAAGGGGTCAATTTTGCTATATTGCTATAAACGACTTCTACTGTAGAACTATGCAATGGATATTGATCAATATTTGGTCGGAAGCATTCATGGGAGGCAGGGATTCAAAATTGTACAAATGGTGGGGCTGACCCCCTGGGCTAAGGGGTTGGGCCAAAAGAAGTGTATTACTTGGAAATGGTTGAGATCCCCACCATATAACCATGGTATATAATTGCTGAGTATAAAGAGAAGAATGCACATTTGCTTCCAGGATGGCTATGAGGTCTGGCCCCACCCTTGGAGACATAGTCCCTGGGCCATAACTTTATAACTGTTGAGATCCCCACCCCAAAACTCTATATATACAAATGCTGGGCATAAAAAGACGAATGCAGTCATGATATCAGAATAGACCCTGGGGTCTGACCGAACCCTTAGGGACCTAGTTTGTTAGTCACAGCTTGGAAACAGTTGAGAGCCCCACCCTATAACGGTATATACAATTGCTGAGTATAAAGAGATGATTGCACTTATGCTTCCAGGATGGCCTTGGGGACTGCCCCACCCTTGGAGACTTAACCCCTGGGTCATAACTTCAAAATGGTTTAGATCCCCACCCCAAAACTATATATACAATTGTTGGGCATAAAAAGACGAATGCAGTCATGATATTAGAATTGGTCCCAGGGTCTGCCCCACCCTTGCAGACTTAACCCCTGGGTCATAACTTTGAAATGGTTGAGATCCCCACCCCAAAACTTTATATACAAATGCTAGGCAAAAAGAGACAAATGCAGTCATGATATTAGAATTGATCCTGGGGTCTGGCCACAACCCTAGGGACCTAGTTTCTGAGTCAAAGCTTGGAAGCAGTTGAGATCCCCACCCCATAACCATACATAAAATTGCTGGGCATGAAGAATCTTATACAGATATGCTACAAGGATTGGCCTTGGGGTCTGGCATATTCCCTTGATCTCATACGGAGAATATTTTGCCATGATTGCTTTGGTATCCAGGTGAACGATACAGGCCCCCTGGGCCTCTTGTACAATATATAGGTATACTATATTATCTACTTATGTTTTAATACATTGCTACGTTAGGTACTGCCTGGTCTTATGACGCCTGGGATCAAGCCCACCCCCAATTGTGTTACGGAGATAATAGGGCTTGTCCGGAGGACTGTGCTTACCTACGGACGTCAAATGGAATGTGGAGTGAGGACCACTGCAACAATGCTCACGTCAAATATCAGTACATCTGTCAATATAGTGAGTAAAGTCAAATACCAGTACATCTGTCAGTATAGTGAGTAAAGTCAAATACCAGTACATCTGTCAATATAGTAATGTCAAATGCCAGTACATCTGTCAGTATAGTGAGTAACGTCAAATATCAGTACATCTGTCAATATAGTGATTAAAGTCAAATATCAGTACATCTGTCAGTATAGTGAGTAAGGTCAAATACCAGTACATCTGTCAGTATAGTGAGTAACGTCAAATATCAGTACATCTGTCAATATTGAGTAAAGTCAAATATCAGTACATCTGTCAGTATAGTGAGTAACATCAAATACCAGTACATCTGTCAGTATAGTGAGTAAAGTCAAATATCAGTACATCTGACAGTATAGTGAGTAAAGTCAAATATTAGTACATCTGTCAGTATAGTGAGTTAAGTCAAATATCAGTACATCTGTCAGTATAGTGAGTAACGTCAAACACCAGTACATCTGTCAGTATAGTGAGTAGCGTCAAATATCAGTACATCTGTCAGTATAGCGAGTTAAGTCAAATATCAGTACATCTGTCAGTATAGTGAGTAACGTCAAACACCAGTACATCTGTCAGTATAGTGAGTAGCGTCAAATATCAGTACATCTGTCAGTATAGTGATTACCGTCAAATACCAGTACATCTGTCAATATTTAGTAAAGTCAAATACCAGTACATCTGTCATATATTGAGTAAAGTCAAATATCAGTACATCTGACAGTATAGGGAGTAAAGTCAAATATTAGTACATCTGTCAGTATAGTGAGTAAAGTCGAATACCAGTACATCTGTCAGTATGGTGAGTAAAGTCAAATACCAGTACATCTGTCAGTGTAGTGAGTAAAGTCAAATACCAGTACATTTGTCAATATAGTGAGTAAAGTTAAATATCAGTACATCTGTCAATATAGTGAATAACGTCAAATACCAGTACAACTGTCAATATAGTGAGTAAAGTCAAATACCAGTTCATCTGTCAGTATAGGGAATAAAGTCAAATATCAGTACATCTGTCAGTATAGTGAGTAAAGCCAAATATCAGTACATCTGTCAATATAGTGAATAACGTCAAATACCAGTACAACTGTCAATATAGTGAGTAAAGTAAAATACCAGTACATCTGTCAGTATAGTGAGTAGCGTCAAATATCAGTACATCTGTCAGTATAGTGATTACCGTCAAATACCAGTACATCTGTCAATATTGAGTAAAGTCAAATACCAGTACATCTGTCATGTCAATATAGTGAGTAACATCAAATACCAGTTCATCTGTCAGTATAGGGAATAAAGTCAAATATCAGTACATCTGTCAGTATAGTGATTACCGTCAAATACCAGTACATCTGTCAATATAGTGAGTAACATCAAATACCAGTACATCTGTCAGTATAGGGAGTAAAGTCAAATATCAGTACATCTGTCAATATAGTGAGTAAAGTCAAATACCAGTACATCTGTCAATATGGTGAGTAAAGTCAAATATCAGTACATCTGTCAGTATAGTGAGCAAAGTCAAATACCAGTACATCTGTCAGTATAGTGAGTAAATTCAAATACCAGTACATCTGTCAATATAGTGAGTAACATCAAATACCAGTTCATCTGTCAGTATAGGGAATAAAGTCAAATATCAGTACATCTGTCAATATAGTGAGTAACGTCAAATATCAGTACATCTGTCAGTATAGTGAGTAAAGTCAAATACCAGTACATCTGTCAGTATAGTGAGTAAAGCCAAATACCAGTACATCTGTCAGTATAGTGAGTAAAGTCAAATACCAGTACATCTGTCAGTATAGGGAGTAAAGTCAAATATCAGTACATCTGTCAATATTGAGTAAAGTCAAATATCAGTACATCTGTCAATATAGTAAGTAAAGTCAAATACCAGTACATCTGTCAATATAGTGAGTAAAGTCAAATATCAGTACATCTGTCAGTATAGTGAGTAAAGTCAAATACCAATACATCTGTCAATATAGTGAGTAAAGCCAAATACCAGTACATCTGTCAGTATAGTTGGTACATCACTATTTATTTACAACCAGAATACACAAAATATGAATCACTTTCATGGTTTGGTACATACACTATTCATACGTCAGTTATAGATACATTTTGACCACCTTTAAATGGGCGTTTAATGTCACTTTAAATGTTTTGTCAGACATGTCACCTACTACGACGTCAACGACCACCACATCATCCCCAACGACAACCAAGCCATCCCCAACGACAACCAAGCCATCCCCAATGACAACCAAACCAGCAACAAGTAAAACGCTAACTTCATCAACTGCTACGACAACCACTTTACCGGTAACAACTCAAGTGACAACATTGGTGACAACCAGCCCACTCATGACGACAACAAAGACAACCAGTTCATCCGTGACAACTGCTTCCATAATGTCGACAAAATCCTCCACTACTGCTGCACCAATGGTGGGCAGGATGGGTAAGTGACTCCAAAACTAGAGAACTGTGGTGGACTGGTAAGTGACTCAGAGATAAGTGAACTGTGGTGGACGGGTAAGTGACTCAGAGATAAGCGAACCGTGGCGGATGGGTAAGTGACACAACAGACAAGCAAACCGTGGCCGACAGGGCTTTTATTATTTGTGTGTAAAGAAAGAAAAAAAAGAAATACAAACACAGTAATACTAATTAAGTAAGGAAAGAGATAGTAAACTATTTCCACAAAATATAGGACAGGAAATTGCTTAAATAGAAAACTAAATTATCTGGTTAAGTTACATATCTGCTTATAGTACATTTATCTCAATAATCGAATGATCTGCTCTCAAGGATATTATGTCTTTTCAAACTTTTTAATTGTTATAAAACATATTTCTATTATAAAACACCACAAACTCGCTCCCTCTCATACGCCCATCCATAATTGTTAAAGTGATTCACACTAACAATTTTACATATTAGGAAAGTAAACAATACAAAGAGTGTCATTCTTCCAATCAACGATGGCCAATTGGAAACCGTCAGCACTTTCCGCTGTAAACAAGTGTTCTAGACAAAGGCTTGGCTAACACGTTTCAACTTTGACTTATTTTGGTTGGGAGCATTGTTGGGACAAGGGAACTCAGCAGAGGTGTGGCCCCTCTGGGAGCGTTAAAGCAGGGCCCAATGGGCTGAATCTTTAATCCTACACTTTCAGTATGGGTAAAGTGATTTTAACCAAAGTGTGTATTGAGCTTCCTTTAGACAAGGAAAATCAAAGTTGTATAAACGGGAAATGAGACTCCCCTCGGGCTAGGGGAGCGCAGCCTGAAATCAGAATCAGGGCAGATTTGCCTCAAAATGTTACACTTCCTAAATTGTTGCTAAAATTGTCGCCATATTTGTATTTCAAATGTAACAGAACAATTTTAAGTATTCAGATTTTTTTTATAGATGAAGTTGGTGTTCTCCCTGTCTGGAGGATTGGGCCGCATAGAGAAATTTCAAATGTACAGCTGTGTACTGCTCAAACGAGATCCCTACTATTTTACCACATGCAAGCATAAGAAAGCCATTATAATTTCCACCTTATCATAAATGACCTCTGGGTACAGCCATACCCCTGGGGAATTGATCAATTGGTCATAACACAGAAACAGTTGAGATCCCCAGCCTGGAACCAGATATGAGTTGATAAACATGAGGAGGCGAAAAAAATCATACTACTAGGATTTGGTTCCTTGGTCAACCTTGCCCCGATGACTTAGTCCATCTGTCAAAACATTGTACTATACAGACGGTATTTCAAACCTGATCGGTATAAAATATCCTTGGGATCAGTCAAAGTGCAGCAATACCCGTACAGTAATATTCAATCTAATATCTCTTGGCAAACTCCATAACGCTGATATCAGATAATAATAATAATTCGAGGTTACCGCTTTATCATAACCTAGTTTGTAGGTCGTCTCAAAGCGGTTCACAAATTATTATCCGTGATTATAGGGCCTTTGCAACCAGCCAATACCTTTCTCAACTCCCTGAGGAGCATACATTTCTGCGCTTACAGCTAACATTCAACAATTCTAGCACTACCCAACCACATACTCTTTTACAGCTGAGTAGACTGGAACAAGCTGAGTAAAGTATCTTCCTCTAAGATACAACACAGTACCGTGCCTCGAACCAGCAACCCTTCGGTCACGAGCCCGGCGTCCTATCACTAGACTACCGTGTCTCTAGATATTCTTTATTAACTGTAAATTTAAAAACACTGTACCGAAAATATAAGTACTGCACAGTTAATATAAACACTGTACCGTAAATATAAGTACTGAACAGTTAATATAAACACTGTACCGCAAATATAAGTACTGCACAGTTAATATAAACCCTGTACCCTAAATAAAAGTACTGCACCGTTAATATAAACACTGTACCGCAAATATAAGTACTGCACAGTTAATATAAACACTGTACCGTAAATAAAAGTACTGCACAGTTAATATAAACACTGTACCCTAAATAAAAGTACTGCACAGTTAATATAAACACTGTACCGTAAATATAAGTACTGCACAGTTAATATAAACACTGTACCGTAAATATAAGTTCCCGAAATAAAGCATAATACAGCATAACCACGATACAGTAAATTCAAGTTTGTACATTATTTATTTCTGAAAAGTCAATATTCATTTTATAAAGGTGCTTAATAAAACTTCCCCAATGTATTAAGGGGATTCTAGTTACACATTTTCTTTAGAAACGGAGTCTCTTCAGCAGATACTATTACTTCAAATAAAATGTATGCTATACTTGTATTGTTATTTTATTTTTTTATCATTTTTCTTCAGGTCAGTTAACAGATGACGGTGGAGCATTGTCACAAGGTATGTATTGCTTGTTAAAACATTTGATGACGTTTCAGTTCAAACATCAACATTTGATGATGTTCTAGTTCAAACATCAACATTTGATGACGTTTCTAGTTCAAACATCAATTTTAATGACGTTTCAGTTCGAACATCAATATTTGATGACGTTTCTAGTTCAAACATCAACATTTGATGACGTTTCTAGTTCAAACATCAATATATTTGATGACGTTTCGTAATGTTTCTCATATTTCATATATTTATTCTGAATTCAAAATAAGCTGATCAAAACCGTAACTACTCTAAAATGACACCAGTCAAGTTTAATACATGAAGAATTCATTGTCATAACAGTAATTTCATTTGAAATATTAACTTTTAACAAGCAGAATTCACAAATAAAATATAATAACAAAATATTCGACCTTACTTGTTCTTTCTTAACCATAAATAAACTGAAATCCTAATAAAAACAACAGATTTTCAAATTAAACATGATTGCGTTGTGAGTGTAATAAAAAAACTAACCTTATAAGTTGACAGTGAAAAGCCAGGGCTTCATGTTACAGGTGGCCTGATCAGTCTGTTACTGGCGTTGATCCTTGTTTTACTGTGTGTGTTATTACTAAATCAGTGTTTGTTTACAGGTGGCCTGATCAGTCTGTTACTGGCTTTGATCCTTGTTTTACTGTGTGTGTTATTACTAAATCAGTGTTTGTTTACAGGTGGCCTGATCGGTCTGGTACTGGCGTTGATCCTTGTTTTACTGTGTGTGTTATTACTAAATCAGTGTTTGTTTACAGGTGGCCTGATCAGTCTGTTACTGGCATTGATCCTTGTTTTACTGTGTGTGTTATTACTAAATCAGTGTTTGTTTACAGGTGGCCTGATCGGTCTGGTACTGGCGTTGATCCTTGTTTTACTGTGTGTGTTATTACTAAATCAGTGTTTGTTTACAGGTGGCCTGATCAGTCTGTTACTGGCGTTGATCCTTGTTTTACTGTGTGTGTTATTACTAAATCAGTGTTTGTTTACAGGTGGCCTGATCAGTCTGTTACTGGCGTTGATCCTTGTTTTACTGTGTGTGTTATTACTAAATCAGTGTTTGTTTACAGGTGGCCTGATCAGTCTGTTACTGGCGTTGATCCTTGTTTTACTGTGTGTGTTATTACTAAATCAGTGTTTGTTTACAGGTGGCCTGATCAGTCTGTTACTGGCGTTGATCCTTGTTTTACTGTGTGTGTTATTACTAAATCAGTGTTTGTTTACAGGTGGCCTGATCAGTCTGTTACTGGCGTTGATCCTTGTTTTACTGTGTGTGTTATTACTAAATCAGTGTTTGTTTACAGGTGGCCTGATCAGTCTGTTACTGGCGTTGATCCTTGTTTTACTGTGTGTGTTATTACTAAATCAGTGTTTGTTTACAGGTGGCCTGATCAGTCTGTTACTGGCGTTGATCCTTGTTTTACTGTGTGTGTTATTACTAAATCAGTGTTTGTTTACAGGTGGCCTGATCAGTCTGTTACTGGCGTTGATCCTTGTTTTACTGTGTGTGTTATTACTAAATCAGTGTTTGTTTACAGGTGGCCTGATCAGTCTGTTACTGGCGTTGATCCTTGTTTTACTGTGTGTGTTATTACTAAATCAGTGTTTGTTTACAGGTGGCCTGATCAGTCTGTTACTGGCGTTGATCCTTGTTTTACTGTGTGTGTTATTACTAAATCAGTGTTTGTTTACAGGTGGCCTGATCAGTCTGTTACTGGCGTTGATCCTTGTTTTACTGTGTGTGTTATTACTAAATCAGTGTTTGTTTACAGGTGGCCTGATCAGTCTGTTACTGGCGTTGATCCTTGTTTTACTGTGTGTGTTATTACTAAATCAGTGTTTGTTTACAGGTGGCCTGATCAGTCTGTTACTGGCGTTGATCCTTGTTTTACTGTGTGTGTTATTACTAAATCAGTGTTTGTTTACAGGTGGCCTGATCAGTCTGTTACTGGCGTTGATCCTTGTTTTACTGTGTGTGTTATTACTAAATCAGTGTTTGTTTACAGGTGGCCTGATCAGTCTGTTACTGGCGTTGATCCTTGTTTTACTGTGTGTGTTATTACTAAATCAGTGTTTGTTTACAGGTGGCCTGATCAGTCTGTTACTGGCGTTGATCCTTGTTTTACTGTGTGTGTTATTACTAAATCAGTGTTTGTTTACAGGTGGCCTGATCAGTCTGTTACTGGCGTTGATCCTTGTTTTACTGTGTGTGTTATTACTAAATCAGTGTTTGTTTACAGGTGGCCTGATCAGTCTGTTACTGGCGTTGATCCTTGTTTTACTGTGTGTGTTATTACTAAATCAGTGTTTGTTTACAGGTGGCCTGATCAGTCTGTTACTGGCGTTGATCCTTGTTTAACTGTGTGTGTTATTACTAAATCAGTGTTTGTTTACAGGTGGCCTGATCGGTCTGGTACTGGCGTTGATCCTTGTTTTACTGTGTGTGTTATTACTAAATCAGTGTTTGTGTAACAGGTGGCCTGATCGGTCTGGTACTGGCGTTGATCCTTGTCGTAATTGTCATCGCGTTGGTCCTCCTGGTGATCGTACGTAAACGGTGAGTTACTGTAAAAATGAATTCAGAACCTAGAACTTACTTCAAATAAAAGCATTGAATATAAATGCAATCATTAAGTGTAAAAAAAAGTTCATTTATAATAAAAAATACGTTTAGTAAAAACACAAACTCTTATCATACTTTACATTGAACTCCAACATAAACAACTGTAAACAGTGTTTTGAAAGGTTTGGTAATGTACAGACATATTTGTCTGAGGAATGTGACAAAGTACAGACATATTTGTCTGAGGAAGGTGACAAAGTACAGACATATTTGTCTGAGGAATGTGACAAAGTACAGACATATTTGTCTGAGGAAGGTGACAAAGTACAGACATATTTGTCTGAGGAAGGTGACAAAGTACAGACATATTTGTCTGAGGGATGTGACAAAGTACAGACATATTTGTCTGAGCAAGGTGACAAAGTACAGACATATTTGTCTGAGGAAGGTGACAAAGTACAGACATATTTGTCTGAGGAATGTGACAAAGTACAGACATATTTGTCTGAGGAAGGTGACAAAGTACAGACATATTTGTCTGAGGAAGGTGACAAAGTACAGACATATTTGTCTGAGGAAGGTGACAAAGTACAGACATATTTGTCTGAGGAAGGTGACAAAGTACAGACATATTTGTCTGAGGAAGGTGACAAAGTACAGACATATTTGTCTGAGGAAGGTGACAAAGTACAGACATATTTGTCTGAGGAAGGTGACAAAGTACAGACATATTTGTCTGAGGAAGGTGACAAAGTACAGACATATTTGTCTGAGGAAGGTGACAAAGTACAGACATATTTGTCTGAGGAAGGTGACAAAGTACAGACATATTTGTCTGAGGAAGGTGACAAAGTACAGACATATTTGTCTGAGGAAGGTGACAAAGTACAGACATATTTGTCTGAGGAAGGTGACAAAGTACAGACATATTTGTCTGAGGAAGGTGACAAAGTACAGACATATTTGTCTGAGGAAGGTGACAAAGTACAGACATATTTGTCTGAGGAAGGTGACAAAGTACAGACATATTTGTCTGAGGAAGGTGACAAAGTACAGACATATTTGTCTGAGGAAGGTGACAAAGTACAGACATATTTGTCTGAGGAAGGTGACAAAGTACAGACATATTTGTCTGAGGAAGGTGACAAAGTACAGACATATTTGTCTGAGGAAGGTGACAAAGTACAGACATATTTGTCTGAGGAAGGTGACAAAGTACAGACATATTTGTCTGTGGAAGGTGACAAAGTACAGACATATTTGTCTGAGGAAGGTGACAAAGTACAGACATATTTGTCTGAGGGAGGTGACAAAGTACAGACATATTTGTCTGAGGAAGTTGACAAAGTACAGACATATTTGTCTGAGGATGATGATAAAGTACAGACATATTTGTCTGAGGAAGGTGACAAAGTACATAGATATTGAACACTTTAAGGTACATGGTATTCCTGGTTGTTTGTCTGAGGAAGATGACGAATTTCATATCGTACTGGACAACCCATACTTACCAGCTTGAAAATGTTTATTGCGTTTAACATAAAATGGGGGGGGGGGGGACATATAATGTTGCCCATGTCCGTCCAGTCCCATCCCGTCCCGACTCAATGTAAACACTTAGCAACTTCATTCTTTGACAGATTTTGGTCAAACTTTATACAAAGGTCAAGTATGAGTATACTTCGGACATCGTTGTGTTTCAGGAATCCAAGGTTAAGGCCAAGGTCACTTGCTATATATAGAAAATCATCAACTGATTTAATTTAAACACTTAGCAACTTCATTCTTTCATGGATTTTGGTCAAACTTTATATAAAGGTCAAATATGGGTATACCTCTGACATCCTTGTTTTTCAGGATGGTAATAACATACAGAATAAAACATATGAATATTAAAAACAACTTATCAACTTTAAGTGTAGTACCTTGTGTGTGTGCATGTTTCAGGGTATCAAGATCAAAGTGGTTGTAACTTTTTATAGAACACTGAAACTAATTTCACATTGCAGCAGGGGCATTTATGTCTTACAGACATTTCTAGTTTTTCAATAATTGGAACTTGTGAAAGTCTATTCTGATAGTTTGTCCCAGATTTTGGAGCTAGTGCAAGTCTAGGTATTGGTGTAATGTAAAAAGAATATAGTCCGTCATTGAAAGAAAAGTATACAACATGAAGGTGTACACCGATAGTTCAATAGGGCCAAATTATGAAAACACAAAATATATGAACATATTTTATATGTCACATTTAATCTGGTCCATGAATTCATCAGTTGAAATATAAAAATTCTGACGCATATTCATACGCACAAGTAATGTTTATCTTAGCAATTTCATTGGCAAATAAAATGGGTAACATTTGGTAGTTTCATGGAGTCAAATTTGAAAGGAAATTGAAATATTATCAATTGAATAAAATACCTTTTACTTTTACAAATGACATAATAAGAAAATTAAGAATCACGAATAATCTGGAATGAAACTGATTTGTTTTTTATGTTTATTTCAAGTTGTAGGACATTTACTCTAACGTTTCTGTCTATTACAGGAATAGAAGGAAGAGGTTTGAAGCTGACGACTTTCAAGTACGGTTTCAAAATCATACATACGGCACAAACCGACCTCCTAGTTCATATCAAACAGGAGCTTGTAACGATTCGAAATCGTACGCAACATCAAACATCTACGAGACACCGGGACCTAAACAATGTAATCGAGAATCTAACTGTCACGGGTACGAAAATCCTGTCAACCGCTCCACATTGGACCGCATAGGACAGGAAAGTCATTACGCCTCAGTGAAGGAGTGTGATATGGTTTATCTTCCCGATACTCACCCAGACATGCCTTATAAACAATCGGAGCGCCTCAACAATACCAGTGCTGGGCTACATTATTGTAGTGTAAGTAGCGAAATGACAGATCCTTCATATGTCTCTCCGAAACCACAGAAGGAAATGAGCGAAGAAGTTCTCTCAAACCGGAGTAACGAGGGACTGCTCAGATGTTTAGAGGAATATAGTAAGGATCCAGGTGCTTACGACAACAATTTATATATCAACAATAAAAACAGCTATGTTAATAAGTGACTGACGAATATTGTGATGAAGGGTTAGGGAAAACATATTCAACCAAAAGTATTCTGAGAACCATGCTGTTAGTTTGATATAAAATTTATTTAATTTACAACAATTATGAAACAAGTTATTTCAAATTACATTAATCATTAATCTTGTTGGCCGGATGTAAGTGCACGGGGGTGTGTGTGTCTTAGTGTGGGAGGAAACCAGAGTACCTGGATAAAACCCACATGGTCATGAAGGCAGGTGACCCCAAACCTTTTCACGTCCGATCAGGAAATCAAACCCCGGTCGCCTTGGTGAAAGTCAAGTGTGCTATCCACTGCGCCACAAGTTTAAAGACTATACATTATATATCAGCTTGTTATTATGATAAAATATCAGTGTGTCAGTGATTCGTATTTTGAAAATATGTATCGAACTAAACTTCCAAACAAAGGTTCGCTTTTACTGTACCAGTACTAAATGATGCCATTGGTGTGTGGGACAGACTAATGACAGGAATGATGTTCTGGTGTTGCCAGGTTTCAAGGTGACCACTTTCATTGAACACGTGTAAATTGAGAAGATGGGCGACTCAACAAAATAGACAATAACCATGTTATACAGGAGTATGAGCGGTAAATACAAATCTATTGTCAAAACGTATTAAGTTGTGATCCGTCAATAAAAGTAACAGCCCGGAGTGGTAAACTTAGACACGCACACCTACTGTTGATTACGTCACAGAGTTGTGTCTGGATCGCGGAACTCCGTCCACATATACATTGTTGTTGACATCATGGAAACATATGTCACGTTCTATGGTCAGCTTATATGAGATGATATATCCAGTTTACCAGAAAAATGGTTATTGAGAAATGTGAGTGTACTTTGTAAATATATTAAACAGACCATGTTCAGGTAGATCAACCTAAAAATGAAGAGCATTAAACGGGGCTACATAGCTGGTAAGTCTTAATCTTGTATCGATTGATGCAGACTTGTGTACTTTGTGAACTAGAAAGTCTAAACATAACAAAGTATCAGTGGTATACAATGATCCATAGCCACACTCCCAGAAGTTAGCATATGCTAGCTATTGTTGCCACGTGTTATAGTTCTGTTTAATGAAAGACGCTTGTAGTGTATGACCTTGGCATCTGCACTATAACTGGTGCATTCATGAAGAAGTGCAATATGGGAGAGTTAGGGGGAATTTTGTTTTAAGTATATGGTAGGAGATTATAGCTTTGGTCATGGTGATTCGTAATTGTGCAATTTAAACAGGGTATGGCTAAATACCGTATTTTACTGCAAATAAGCCCCCCCCCC